ATACTTGATTTTAAATACAATTATAATTTTAAATACTATAGAAATAATATAAATACTGTAAATACTGTAAATGCTAAGCAGCAGAATATATATAGAAAAATTTAAGAAAATTTAAGATGTCATAATTTGAGGGTATATTATATATATCTAGTCCAAGCAAAAACAATTTATCAAGATATTTACAATTTTAACAGTCAGAATACTGAGGACAGAATATCTAGAGGTTCAAAAACCTTTTTTTTTCAAATTTCCCTCCTTGGGATATGCTCTAGTCTTTTTTTTTTTTTCCTCAATCTCTGTTCTTCTGCAAGCTTAGGACATTCCTCCAAGTTCAGCACTCTATCGTGTTTCTTGCTGCTAGACTGTCCACCGCTAGACAGTTTATTCCTCTGTCAAGTCACTCTAATGGCTGAGTTTCCTGTTCGTTACAAAAAAAAAAGAAGCCAGACTCGATCCACCCAATTTCAGCCTCCGCTAGGTCTAGTTTTAGTCACAGTAAAAAGGGGAAATAAGAGCTGGTTTTGAATTTCTCACCGATCCTCACTAGGCACGCACACTGTTGGTAGAAATTTTCTGTCTTATTTCAGTGCCGGCTTGTCGGGCTCTCTCTCTGTCAAGGAACTCCGAAAACTTTCAATTGCCGCTTTTCTCGTTAGTGGGACTCTCCACCCGACTTCACCGACCCCTTTCCTGATGATCTCTTTCCGCGATGCTGGGAAGGTGTGTATTGATCAGAACTGCAACATCCGATCTTCCTTGCTTCCAATCTGGTTGCTGGTTACCGCGGCTTCGTGTCGGCCATTAAATTGGCCGACTCACGCGTGCTGGATTTGACAGAGCCGCCCGGTCTTGCGATCAGCGTTTTGCCCTCCGCTTTCACGCTCACCCGGCTCGCTCCCTCGTCCGTGGGGCTCTCCGGGCTCCACGCCCCTCAAGGGGACCCCAAAACACGGTGACTAATGGTATTGAGGAGCAGCGGTCACTCACTCAACGCCATATCGCCGCGGGTCACCAACCGGAAGTCAGGTCTTGAGAATATTATCTGGAAAGAGTTTGATTCTGTGACTCCCGAAGACGTGGACAGGATACTGAGTAGACTGAATGCTGCCACATGTTTACTGGACCCGTGTCCCTCCTGGTTGGTGCTGGCCTCTCGGGAGGTTACACGAGGCTGGCTCCAGGGGATTATAAATGCTTCTCTGAGTGAAGGTGTCTTTCCCGCCGCCTTGAAAGAGGCGGTGGTGAGACCTCTCCTCAAGAAGCCTTCCCTGGACCCGGCAGTATTGGCAAATTACCATCCAGTCTCCAACCTTCGCTTTGTTGCGAAGGTTGTTGAGAGTGTGGTAGCACGGCAGCTCCCTCAGTACCTGGATGAATCGGCTTATCTGGATCCGTTCCAGTCGGGCTTCAGGCCTGGGTACAGCACGGAAATGGCATTGGTTGCATTGGTTGAGGATCTCTGGAGGGCTCGGGACAGGGGTTGCTCCTCTGTCCTGGTCCTATTAGACCTCACAGCAGCTTTTGATACCATCGACCATGGTATCATGCTGCACCGGCTGGAAGAGCTAGGGGTGGGAGGCACCGTGTTACGGTGGTTCTCCTCCTTCCTCTCCGACCGGTCGCAGTCAGTGTTGGCAGGGGGGCAGAGGTCGACCCCGAGGCCCCTTGTATGTGGGGTGCCACAAGGGTCGGTCCTCTCGCCCCTTCTGTTCAACATTTATGTGAAGCCGCTGGGTGAGATCATCCGTGGTTTCGGGGTGAAGTACCATCAGTACACTGATGACACCCAGCTGTACATCTCCACCCCGGACCACCCCAATGATGCCCTTAAAGTGAAGTCCCGGTGCCTGGAGGCTGTACGGATCTGGATGGGGAGGAACAGACTCAGGCTCAACCCATCCAAGACCGAGTGGCTGTGGTTTCCGACATCCTGATATAGACAGTTGGTGCCATCACTGACTATTGGGGGCGAGTCATTGGGCCCCACGGAGAGGGCTCGCAACTTGGGGGTCCTCCTGGACTTACAGCTGTCTTTAGAAGAGCACTTGAGGGCGTTTTATCAGGTTCGCCTGATTCACCAGTTGCGTCCCTTTCTGGATCGGGACTCGTTAAATACGGTCACTCATGCCCTCGTCACTTCCCGCCTGGACTACTGCAATGCTCTCTACATGGGGCTCCCCTTGAGGAGCACCCGGAGGCTCCAGCTGGTCCAGAATGCGGCTGCGCGGGTGGTTATGGGAGCGACAGGGCGCTCCCTTGTGACCCCCTCCTGCGCGAGCTGCACTGGCTCCCGGTGGTCTTCCAGGTGCCCTTCAAGGTTTTGGTTACCACCTTTAGAGCGCTCCATGGCTTAGGACCGGGGTATCTACGAGACCACCTTCTGCCACCAGTGGCCTCTCACTGACCAGTACGCTCCCATAGAGAGGGGCTCCTAAGGGTGCCGTCGGCCAAACAATGTCGACTGGCGGCCCCCAGGGGGAGAGTCTTCTCTGTGGGGGCACCCGTCATCTGGAATGAGCTCCCCCCGGAGATACGGAGGATCCTGGACCTGTGCGCTTTCCACCGTGCCATTAAAACATTTCTTTTCCAGCAGGCCGGCCTGGCCTAACCTCTCTTTTAAACTTTTTAAACTTTTTAAAATTCTTAAATTGTAAATTTGTCTTATAAACTGGGGTGTTTTAAATTTCATTTTTTGGGCCAATTATCTAATTGTATTTTAATGGTTTTTTAACATTTGTATTATATGTATTTTATTTGGCTGTTCACCGCCCTGAGTCCTTCGGGAGTAGGGCGGTATACAAATTCAATTAATAATAATAATAATAATAATAATAATAATAATAATAATAATAATAATAATAATGCCTAGATCAGCTCTAAACATAAGAAAGACTAGGAAAAAGGTGGCATAGATATGACCCAGCAAGAAATAGATAATATTATATTAGGAAAGGAGGAAAGAATGTTATCCAAGATTTATAAACTCTTAATAAATTACTGGATAGGGGATGAGATTGTTAAAAGATTCAATGATTGCCTGGGGGAGAAATATTGGTTACTCAATTGAGTTGGTAAAATGGGAAGAAATATGGACGAAACAACTGAAACTCCTGATGGCAACCACTTACAAAGAAAACTCGTATAAGATGGTGGTATAGATGGCATCTCCCTCCTGCCCAACTATCCAAAATGTTCCCAGGACTCTCCCCAAACTGTTGGAAATGTGGGGAGATAGGTACTTATTTTCACGTATGGTGAACCTGCCCCAAGGTAATTAAGCTTTGGAGACTTATACAGGGATGGATATTAGAAATCACTGGATATAAATTACAATTGAAACCAGAATACTATCTATTAAATATAAGGCCAGATAAGATAGGCACGAATACATGGTGTTTGATTGTATATATCATAACTGCAACAAGAATATGTTTTGCTCAATATTGGAAGGGGAAAGACTTACCGGCTGAAGATTTGATTTTGGGAAAAATTATGGAATATGTGGAAGCTGACAGGTTAACAAAAATTTTGAGAGATCAAAAGGATTCCACATATTTTCAATGCTGGGACCAATGGTATACTTGGTTGAATAATAGAATAAAAAGAAGATAAGGTTAGTGTAGATTTTATATCTTATTTGTATATTTTGACTGAAGTTAATATATTGTTTAAAGCTCCCGTTGCGATCTGTATGTGAATAAATACTTTGTTTGTAAAGAAATAAATAAAAACTTTTTAAAAAATCGCGTGAAGTGATAATACCACTTTATAATATCCTGGTAAGACCACATACTTGAAATACTGCATCTAGTTTTGGACACCACAATATAAAAAAGATGTTGAGACTCTAGAAAAAGTGCAGACAAGAGCAACAAAGAGGATTAGGGGACTGGAGGCTAAAACATATGAAAAACGGTTGCAGAAATTGGGTATCTGTAGTTTAATGAAAAGAAGGACTGGGGTGACATGATAGTAGTCTTCCAATATCTCAGGGGTTGCCAGAAAGAAGAGGGAGTCAAGCTATTTATTTATTAAATTTATTTATTGCTTGATTAAATTTATATGCCGCCCCTCTCCGGAGACTCAGGGCGGAGAGGGGCACCTAAGGGCAGGACAAGAAGTAATGGGTGGGAACTCATCAAGGAGAGAAGCAACCTAGAACTAAGGAGAAATTTCTTGACGGTTAGAACAATTAATCAGTGGAACAACTTTCCTCCAGAAATTGTGGGTGCTCCATCACTGGAATTTTCCAAGAGATTGAACAGCCATTTGTCTGAAATGGTATGGGGTCTCCTGCTTGAACAGGGGGCTGGACTAGAAAACAGCCAAGGTCCCTTCCAACTCTGTTATTCTGTAATAGACAAAATCCCAGCCCAGCCCTCTCACCTGTCCCTGTCTTGAGGAATGAACTCATCGCTCTTCCAAGAGCATCTCTTTGATCCAATCCAACTCCAGTATCCTTGGTTTTCCTTTCTGTTTTCCTCAAGCTTATCACATATGATCCTAACCTCTAGTTTTGCCACACAGATTGTGTCAGGCATGCCTCCTTTCAAAACTCAAGAAAGAAAAACCCCGACTCCATTTTCATAGAGAAAGGTACTTTTACTGAGTATGAACTGAATGCAACCAAAGAAAAGAAAGGTCTGAAGCAAAAGGCGCAACAATTACATATAGAAAGCACCCCCAAAGCCTTCCCCCAACTGTCCAGCATAAATCATCCAATCCACAATTCCCCAGGGGTCATGTGGGTGCAATGTCTGGTGGTGCCATCCTCCTGCTATGCCATGGCAGTTGAACTTGACTTGTTATCAGCTTCAAAGAAACGCTGAAGCAAAGTTTCTCTCTTCTCCTCCACTAGCTCACTTCCCCCCTCCCAAGAATTCCAATAGCTCCCCCCTCCCCCCGTTTCATGGCAGCCGAGCAAGCAATGAAAAAGCAGAGGCTGACAGATTGGCTGCAAGCCTCTAGAGAATGAGGCATTGGGGTTGATCTGAACCTACCTGGGTTTTGGAGTCTGGTCGAAGCCAAGGGAGGACTCCATTGCGTCTCAGCTCGGCCATTTTGGCATTCAGCTTGTGAGCAAGGATAATGGTTAGAGGCATGCATTCTTCCGTTTCATCAGTTGCGTAGCCAAACATCAGGCCCTGCATGGAAGGAAGATGGGAGTATTCTTTAGTACTTTGCTAGTTTATTAAAGGAAAAGAAAAAAGAAAATAAATTGCAAAGGAACCTCAACCTATGGTTCATAAGATACTTTTTTGGTCTTCTATAGTATCATAGATCTTTCCCGTTCATTAACCCCTTGCAGTTCCTGGCTATTCTTTCTTTCTTTCTTTCTTTCTTTCTTTCTTTCTTTCTTTCTTTCTTTCTTTCTTTCTTTCTTTCTTTCTTTCTCTTTTGAAAAATATTTTTTTTATTTTTTTTTAAACATAAACATAAAATATATCTTTTAAGAACGAAGTCTTGATCCGGTCATAGATAGGTACAATCGCTTACATTCCTTTAACAAGCTCTATTCCCAATTTCCCCGTTACATCTTTTAAAATTAAAAATCAAAACAAATGTTTTTAACACAAATTCTAACATCTTAATCTAAACCAGTCTATTATATCACCAAAATCTTAATTTCCAAATAAACTCTACTCGTTTTTTCTATCCAATTATAAATCAAAATTCTATCTAGCTTAATTCCCTCCCTTGCATCTTTTAATATTAAAATCAAAAACACAATTTTTAAAAAATATCCTAACATCTTGATCTAAATGTTTACCTTACTATTTTATCACCACAAATCTTAGTTCCCAAATATGTACAACTCTATTTTTATTTCAATTTATGAATCAAAATTTTATCTATATTCCTTAATCTCTAGACCCATTTAATCAAATCTTTAAATCTTAAACTTTAACAATTACACTTAATTTTCTTAAATTTGTCATCTAATACACATTTCAATTTACACAGATTCATCTCATACTCATTTTGCTTCATTTTAGTTGTCTTCCAACATATTCTTTTTCACCCTGTATTATTTTAGGTATTTTCCAACATATTCTCCTCTATATCTCCAACTATTTGTTTGGCTGGCTTCCAGCATATTTTATTTTAGCTGATATCCAGCATAATCTCCTCCGTATATCCACCTATTTTTTGGCTGATTTCCAGCATAGTTTGTTTTGGCTGATTTCCAGCATATTCTCCTCCATACCTCCAACTATTGTTTGGCTGATTTCCAGCATATTTTGTTTTGGCTGATTTCCAGCATATTCTCCTCCATATCTCCAACTATTATTTGGCTGATTTCCAGCATGTTTTGTTTTGTCTGATTTCCAGCATATTCTCCTCCACCTCTCCAACTCTTGTTTGGCTGATATCCAGCATATCTTATTTTAACTGTTTTCTTTTCAATATATTTAATCTATTATTTAACTATTTCCTAACTATTTCCAACATCCAATATGTTGGGTGACTCCCAACATATTTCTTAATATTAATCATTTCTAGCATACAATAAGTTCAACCACAATTGTATATCTTGTTTTATCATCCAATAATACATTAATCAATCAAATTTAATCATATTTATCATTCTCAACTTTGTTTACAATTTAAAATTAAAACATATTATATCAGGCATATTCTCTTCTTATTCTCTCATAATCTAATAAGTTTTCTTAGGGTTAACTCATATTAGTATATACTCTTGTATTTTTATAAAGATCTCATTTATAACCACCTTTACATCAATTTTCTATTTTAATTACTTTCTTTTATTCTCCATCTTTATTATTCTATAAACACCTCCTGTTAATATTTAAAAATCATTTAAACATTTGAACATTTATTTATTTGTTCGACTTGTATGCCGCCTTTCTCCAAAGACTCAAGGCGGCTTACAATGCATTTAAAAACCATATATAAAAATATATAAATTAAAACATTAAAAACAATTAAAACCCATTCACATCATTCATGGCCGGATCTCACCAGATCACAACAACGAGATCAACGGCCCCAGGCCTGCTGGAAAAGTCTTCACTGCTTTTTGGAAGGCCAATAGGGTGGGGATGGTCCAGATCTCAAGAGGTAACTGGTTCCAGAAAGCTGGGGCAGCCACAGAGAAGGCCCTCCCCTGCGGGCCCACCAGCCGGCACTGTTTAGCTGACGGGACCCGGAGGAGACCAACTCTGTGGGATCTTACCGGTCACTGGGAGCTATGCAGTAGAAGGCGGTCTCGGAGATAACCTGGCCCTGAGCCATGTAGGGCTTTAAAGGTAATAACCAATACCTTGAATTGTGACCGGAGACCAATAGGGAGCCAGTGCAGCTTGCGGAGAATTGGTGTAATGTGAGTGTACCTAGGTGCCCCCACGACAGCTCGCGCGGCTGCGTTCTGGACCAACTGTAGTCTCTGAACACTTTTCAAGGGTAGCCCCATGTAGAGCGCGTTGCAATAATCTAACCGTGAGGTGACAAGGGCATGAGTGACTGTGAGGAGAGCCTCCTGATCCAAGTAGGGTTGCAATTTAAACATTACATTTTAATTTTATCTATTTTATTTCTTCATTTCCCTATCTGTCCATAAGCATTCCACTTTAAAATCCGTGTTTCCAAGTTTGAAACTCTATACGTCATTTCAATTCTTTTGTAACATCTGTTCCATATAAAATCCATCAGCTTTCCTTCTTTTGTTCCTGCGCCACATCTTTTATTCCTGTGCCAGTTAGTTTCGATTTTAATAGTTCCATTATATTTCTTCTTTCTTTATCAAATCACCCATAGACAGAATAGGAATCTCCAAAATCCAAAAGTCCATAGTTATTTTCAAAATAATCCAAAACAAGTAGCAAGTCAGAATATTTCTTTTTCAAGCAGAAGGCGAGTCTCTACAATCCACACTTTCACTTAGTCACAGCAATCTCCATTTTGTATCCATTATGTAACCATCCGTTTGTCTCTCTTCTTTTAACTTTTAAAGGTGCTAAATCCATAGTTATCGCTTTTTGTTTTTTTCTTTTTCCAAGGATCAAATCAATTCCATTTTAAAGAAAAACCCAATTTTCTAGTATATTAATAATCAATTCTACCAAGTCAGCCTGTACCAAGGCAGATTCCTTAATGGGTCTTTGTCTCCTTTTATTACTTTGCCAGATCTTCATGCCCCACAAATCTACAGCTGCTATTTAAAGCTGGGGGTCTTATTGGTAAAAGTCCATACTCAAGTGTTGTTTCCAGCCAGGGTTGGTGTCACTCACCCGGCTTCGAAGTACCTCATTGTTTCTTGTTTCCTCCTGCACAATTCTTTTCCCGGTTTGTTGCGGCTTTGTCCCTGCCGCTGCCGACCAGAGGGTTCCCTCTGGCCTCTGAGGAACTTGCCTGTTCCTCTTGGCCGTCCGAGGCACCCCTCTTCTTCCCTCATCCCTGCAAGACGGGTTCGGTCCAAAGACCCATCAGCGGCGGTTCGTCAGTCGGGGTTTTCGCAGGGCTCATCAGAGCCTGCTATTTCCCCGACTGCATCGCCACGATGCCAAACCGGAAGTCCCTTCCTTCCTTCCTTCCTTCCTTCCTTCCTTCCTTCCTTCCTTCCTTCCCCAAAATGGTAGTTTGCATTTAAGGAAAAGAAATCTTCTAAGCAACTTTTGATATAGTCACTTTCTCTCAAGATGGTTTGAAATCTTCAGAGCCTTGGATGGATGATCCATGACATAGAAGCACTTTCCTGTGATCTCACTGATCATGGGGTATGTCTAGTGAAAAAGAAGGACTAGAGGTGACATGATAGCAGCCTTCCAATATTTGAGGGGCTGCCACAAAGAAGAGGGGATCAACCTATTTTCCAAAGCACCAGAAGACAAGACAAGAAGCAATGGATGGAAACTAATCAAGGAGAGAAGCAGCCTTGGAAAAGTTAAGCAGGGTCAGATCTACTTGGAAATCCTAGGCTGTAGGTTGAACTGGGAACATGCCCAAGGAAAAGGCAAGAGTAGTTCTATCCTACCCCAAGTAAAATATGCAGGCCTTTCTACTTATTTATTAAATTTATTTATAAAGTCAGCACAAGTCAAATGTATATCAAAGAATGCTTTATCTCTACAGTAAGACACCTTTGGCTGACAGATGAGAAGTATTACAAGAAGGGCTTGAGGAAGAAAAGCAAATTATAGGCTAAAATCCCACTACTCAGAGTAAATTAATGGGAAATGTTAATATGTAAGCCATCAACTCCTGCATGCCTGACCCTTTCCTCTGATTTGCCAACTGGGGGGAGAAGGAAGAGGTGACCATTTGACCCCTGGAATAATTGCTTTTTACATTCCTGAGTTCTATCTCTGAAGCTGTACTATGAATTTCAACCCCAAGATGCTTGTTTGTGTTCCGAATCCACAACCAAGAAAAGATCTACTTTACACCTTCGGGTGATGTAAGACCTTCAGGTCTTACCTGATCTCCAGCGCCAACGTCTTCTTCATTCCTGTGTAGATGAACCCCCTGGGCGATATCAGGCGACTGTTGCTCCAAAGCCACAAGAACGTTACAGGTCTTGTAGTCAAAGCCTACAGAGTAGAATTCCATTACTCGTACAGAAACAACTTCAACAGGTTATGCAATGTAGAGTTTTAAGGAGGATCCCAACACTACCCAGGAAGTCAACACAAACAGCTTTGATAGACTACCCCATTTCCTCAAAAATAAGACCTATCCAAAAAATAAGACTTACCATGCTTTTAAGTGTGCGCCTAATATAAGCCCTACTCCAAAATAAGGCTTACTTAAGAGCCTGTGCAGCTGGCCACTCGCCCATTCTGTCTGGTTGCTCGTGGTGCCATGGCCATGAGGTGAGGTGGGGGTACTGGTGGAGCTGCCCCATGCGCCCCACACCAGCTTACCTCAGGGTCCCCGCAGCCATCCACACCCTGATACCTGCCTTGCTGCGGCAGCACCAGCGCACACTTCTGCTTGCTCACAGCCCCCAAGGAGCAGGAGGCTGAGCGGGACACTGGAGCCGCCACCGCAAGGTGAGGCGGGTGTCGGGGTGTGGGTGGCCTGGTTGCAGGATCCTTAGGTAAGCTGATGCAGGGTGCATGGGGAAGCTCCATCCCCTGCCTCCGCAGCACTGATGTGCCAAGCGGCCTCCTGCCCCGCTGTGAGCAAGCAGAAGAAGTGGGCATATACAGGAGGTACATGAGGAACCCCCCCATAGCCTCCAAAAATAAGCCCTAGTGCCTATTTTGGGGCCCAAAAGAAAATAAGACCTGGTCTTATTTTTGGGAAAACACGGGTAGTTGCTAGAAATCCTGAGGCCAGTTGGTCAAGCCAAGCAGGCTAGAAAATGTCAAATCAAGAACGGTGACGCAAGGATGCTGATGAAATGATTTGTGTGTGAGGGGTGATCCAACCTTGAGATAACCTTCGACTGGCCCATAAATAGCTTTCATCTCCCTGTGGAAAGAGCTGGAGACCTCTTGCTAGTAAAACCCAAGCATTGCTCAACCAAGTTGCACCAGTCTTTTTGGTATCCTCGCTAAGCAAACCAAGATAAGAGTCAGATTTCCTTTTCTTCATCAAGATGGGCTTCTATAGTCAAGCTCTTTTAGTGTTCCACCAACCTTTAGCTGAATCATCGTAGCCTATGTTCATAATTGTGTCTCGCACAATCTGCTGATAATCCACAACAGCCCTGGAGGTGATCTCACCACAGAGGAGGACCATTCCTGTTTTACAGACTGTCTCTAAAGGTGAAAGAAAACAAGTTGGATACACCAGAAGATACTCAGTAATAAACTACAAGACTGAGTCTATGGAGGTTCTCCATCATCCAGGTCATGGTTATCCCAAAGGTGCTTTTCCAAAAGGCAACTGGACATTTTTGGTTTTTTCTCTGAAAACATTTCAGAACTGAACTGAGAAAGCTTCTTGGATGAAAAGTGAAAGCTTTGGTACAAAGCTGTGGATGTCTTGAATGCAAAGGTGAGAACCACCACCTGTTTATCAATGAAATTATGCTGTCATGTGTTCTAAGACTCCTTTGTGTAACTCAAATAAGCATTATATTCATTCCAATACATCATCATCCTAATCTCACTCACACACATTTTGTTATAACCCTATCAAATTGTTTGCTCTGCTGATACAATAACTCACTTTTTACAATCCCTTAATTCGGGGTAGAGTCAATGTGATTGAACAGAGCTGAGCATTTAGTGGCCAGATACCCTTCCTGACACCTACATGGAGTTCACAGCAGATTTTTTTTTCTTTGCACCCTAGGAGAAATATCTGTCGCTATTTAGGATTGAACTCTCAACCTTCCAAGTGTCCACCACCAGGTCACCATGCCGCTACGCTCTGTGGCTATGCTATGCTCCACCCCACTTGCCCCACCCACTTTTCTTTTGTGTCTGCCTCCAATACTAAAATTAGGTTGTGTTACAGTGAGAGGGTGTGTAGGCCAACCTCAAAGATTCTCCAACTGGATGAAATCTGGGAAATGATTTGGAAATAGCAACTCCACACTTGGCACTTCTGCTAAGGGTACCCCCAACCTATGGTACTACCTTCAGATGTTCTGATGGCCATTAAATGTGGAATGTTTGTCTTGATAAGGAGGAGAAGCCACCTCTTACCACAAGCAACTTTGGCATCTGGATCTTGTTTCAAGTGGGCATCAAGGACGGCATCGCTGATCTGATCACATATTTTGTCTGAAAGAGAACAGGGTTGGATATTTGAAATGAAAATATCTATCACAGAAAATTGGGACTCTTTTTGCCCCATTAACCTGCAAAAAGAGTAATCCATTCATTCATTCTGCATCACTTAGCTGCTGTTTTTTTTAAAAAAATAGTTAATAGGGAAATCAGTATCTGAACTTAATTCTGCCAGTCAGAAAGCAATGGTGGAATCTAACGTCAACGTATTCCAGTCACACCTGGTGTTAGGATCAAAGAAAAAACATCTCTGCATCAAAACAAGCTCTTGGCATAGTTTTCAAATATACCACTTTTGAATCTGCTGCTCTCCAAAAGATGGTTCAGATGAGTGATTTGTCCTTCTGATGCAGAAACAAAGTAGAAACAAAGTTTATTTGATGCCATTCCAACGGATTAAAACTTGACTGTTGCTAAGGGTGTTTGATTTTGTGTACTGGTGGTGACTCCTGCCATCTCTCTTGTTAACAAGTGACCCACAGTATTCAGGCATTGATCTAAGCCAACAGATGAAGGTAATGGGGTTTGGCCAAGGCTTGGAGCATAGATTGCATATGCTGCTTTCTATGTGGCTACTAAAGCTAGATATCTTTTTACTTGATGATGACATTTTGATGAGGAAAAAGAAAAGAGAGGGGAGTGAGGGGAGGGGAGGGGAGGAGACGAGAGGAGACGAGAGTGAATGAGGGAGGGAGAGAGGGAGAGAGGGAGGAAGGAATCTGAGATCACGTCTTCCAGCTCAATTGGACTCAAATTCCATAATCCCTAGACAACAAAGCTGATGACAAAAGGAAAGGAAAGGAAAGGAAAAGAAAGGAAAGGAAAGGAAGGGAAGGGAAGGGAAGGGAAGGGAAGGGAAGGAAAGGAAAGGAAAGGAAAGGAAGGTCAGTGTCTCCCCTCCTCCTTCCATCTCACATTATTATCTACAATGGCTTTTGTTTCATAACACTCATTTCTAGTGATATCGGGCTTCATTTTTTTCTAGTATTGAATGGTTGGTTTTCTTTGGTCAAAGCAATGTAAATCATCCTTCTCCAATACTGTATTTTGAAAAAAAGCTAACCTTCTTCCTTGTGTCTATGGAGATTCTCTATCATCCAGGTCATGGTTGTCCCCCAAAAGTGCTTTTTCAAGAGGCAATTGGACTTTCTGGTTTTTCCTTGAAGACGTTTTGCTTCTCATCCAAGAAGCTTCTTTAGCTCTGATTGGATGGTGGGGAATGGAAGGATTTATACTCCTTGCAGACAGCTGGACATTTGCATTCTTCTTCCTTGTGTGGAATCCATTCCTTACATCTGGACATCATAACAAGGAAGATCATTCAACTGGCCATTCTAACTATGGTCTAAATGTCTAATTTGTCTAGGCTCCACTAATCGTTTGTCCTGAGTTATTCTCCAAATCTCTTTTGTTCAGTATTACCAAAGTTTATTCTCTCAGTGGCTTCCTGCTTATTGTAGATTTTTTTTAATGAGAAATATCGTGGAAAGAAAATCAGAAAGAACGGTTTATCCATTTCATTTCATATGTATGCCAATACATTGGTGCCAACAAAGCACATTCGTTTGTCCCTACAGGGGAGACCAAATGAAATTCCAGCAATCAGATTACACAAGGGGGAACTATTGACATTTCTGTTGAAATTCACATGTGAAATCTTGGTGGAAGAGGTTGTGTTTAACCTGACTTTATGCCAGCAAATTTTAGAATGTCCTTATTCGATTGTCCCCAAATGAAGAAGAATGATGTTAAAGACTCACTGAGGGAAAACAATTTGCCCTAATTGATGTGTTTGTCAAGCTCATTGTGTGCTCTTCTCTGACGTTAAACCCTCAAATATGTGGGTCAACCTATAACCAAAAGCAAAAAAAAAAAGGATAAATGAAGGTTGACACTGCGTCTCTTAGAATTCACTTGCAATAAATATAAACCTGAACAAAGAGAGCTTAACTTTGCCAATCTAGGTTAAATGAGGTAAACTGGATCACATCTGATCAGTACTCAGCTATAGGCTCATGGGAAGCTGAGCAAACCATGATAGAAACCAAATTTCTATCTTGGCCAAAAAGACCACATGGATATATCCGTGAACTTAGGAGTTGAGCTTGGCTCAAAGGAGATGTCATGTTTTACATAAATGAAGAGACTCTGGTCATTATATGAACTATTAACCTCATTTTTTCTAATGACTGAAACTTGGATGCATTTTGAAGAGCATGGCACCGAATCTAATCAAGATGCCTTCCTATGAAATCCTATGCATGTCTACTCAGGAGTGACCCCAGTGTGTATGAATTTATTTCCCTGCAACACAACTAGAGGTGGACCCATTAGACAAAGTATGATTGAGATCTTAGTTCCTAGCAGGTCTAGCAAGGCCAATAGATGATGGAACTTCAAAAGATGATGTTGGCGTTACAACATGTTCTATGTCCCATAGAACATTTCTTAAGTCCCAGCTGACTTAAGAAATGGCAGAAAATGCTGTTCCACGCAAAATTCAAGCAAAATTCAACTGCCTTGTTGGAAGGGAGGTGGGTGCACAACCTTATCCCTTATCTCGGGTAACACTGAAAGAGAACTCACACTGTACTCTTGCCCAACGTGATAGCCTCCAAGTGTTCAGCCTACTATCTGTATACTAAAGGTTCATGATTATACATTATTTATACATTGATCATTACGTCAGTGTTGAAATATTTCATTTCTTTAAAATCCCTTTCAAACTGCTTTTAGCTGCTCAGTCTTCTAGTGAAAGCAGCAGATCCATCGAAATTTCTCCCAAAACTTATTTTGGGAATATGAAGCCACTCCCCAAAAGGTCTTGACTCTTACACTTCCCGGTGTCTTTTAAGTCTTTTTAAACTCAATGAAACTAACCAATGAGATGGCCAAAAGGGAGAAAAAATTGCTAACAATTGTCATATTGCAAAATATCCTTCTTCGCACTGTACCTGTCTGGCTGGTCTGAGCTGTGTTTATTCCTGCTTTGCCAGTTTTAGACATTAAAGGATGATGGACTTGGACAAGCCCATGAACAGCCTTTTGAAATATAGCAAGAATCAGTGGTTCACATTTCCCTTAAAATAGTTTTTTTGATACCTCTATCAGATTGCAATTAAGCCTTTTAAATGCTTTCTCAATAGAACTTCAAACAGCTTTTGGATTGGGAAACTAGACAGTTCAAAGTAAGAAGCATGCACCTTCTTTCTTTCTTTCTTTCTTTCTTTCTTTCTTTCTTTCTTTCTTTCCTTTCTTTCTCTTTCTTTCTGCCTCCCTCCCTCCCTCCCTCCCTCCCTTCCTTCCTTCCTTTCCTTCTCTTTATTCCTCCCTCCTTCTCTGTTTTTGATTCCTGGAGACAGCCTGGACAAATGCCTGCAGTTTTGTTGGTAAGGTTTTTTTCAGAAATGATTTGCTTCTTAGGGCTGAGAAACCCTAAGCCACCCAGCTGGTGTTGTGCTTTAAGTGGGACTACAACTCACACACTCCATTGTCTAGCCTAATGCCTTCACCACTACACCAAAGTGCCTCTCTCATTATACTCTATATTCTCTCATATTCTCTCAGTTTGGGTTGTATCTGCTTGGTTTTTGCCTTGGGTCTCAAAAAATAAAACCCCCACCAACCCAACATTGCCTATCATATAAGAACCTCAGGGAGTCTATTCTGAGTTTTAAAATGATATTTTGTGAACTGTGCCACCCGTTTCCATCAAGTCCAATGTGGTGGCAAGCTTTGGTCTGACTATTCCATAAAATAGTTCATCCCAATTAAGGAAGTGAAACAACAACAACTGGTTGAATCTTTTCATATAGTAGTTGCAAAACAATGCTGGTGTTTGCCTTGCCAGCTTCAAGTCCTTCCAGAATTATGGATTGGGAAAAGCCACTCAAAATGTAGAATTTACTCTACTCCTCTTTCATTATAAATGAGCATTCTACCTCTTGGTGAACAGAATTGATAAAAAAAATATGCATAGCTCCTAGAATTGAGCATCTGACTTGGTCCATCATTAAAATCTGTCTGTTCAAGGCACCTCTAGCAAGATTGACTTGAAAGAAGTCCCACCGTTATAGCATTCATGAGCTTTCCTCATTATTATTATTAATGTTTAAATGTCCTTCTTTAAATCGGATTGTATTATGCACTACAATCTCTGTCACTGTTTTATGCTTCTTGTTTAAAGAGGTTTGCGCCTCACTTTCGTTCAAAAGTGGACTTTGTCTTCAAAGGGCCCGAGAAGCCGTTTTGAAATCTAGAAATAAATAACTTTACATTAATCATGTGATGAGTTGTACGAATGAGAGGCCATTGTGGGTCAAACATACCCTGAAATGGATAGCATGGATCCTGGAAGAAAACTAACCTGACGTCACAAGGCATCAAAGCAGGACAATGGAGGATGAGAATGAAAAGGACAGTTTTATCCAGTTCATTAGAGTCTAATGATTAGATAGATGTTAACATCTGAAATTTTAAATCAAGAGCAAGAAATATCCATATCCATGGACATTTCCATACATATTTGTTTAATGAAAGGGGTAGAAACAAGAAGCAGCCAAGCTGCAAAGAAAATTGGCCTTTAGAGTCAGCAAGAACAACCATGGATAAGACTCAGAAGATATAAATTGTGGTTCTCTAACCTCCTGGTACTGTTTCAAAGGGTCCCACTTGTGTGGGAAAAAACAAAAAGTTAAATTTGGAGAGCAGAAAACATCCCAGGGAGTTTCAGTTAGTAACGTCATCGATTTCCTTTCGGATAAATGGTTATGATTGTTGAAAAATCTGGGTCCAAAACAGAAAGAGAATTTCAATTTCAAATCTTTATTGTCAGTGCACAACATATGTACAATGAGATTGGTTGAGCTCCCTCAATGCAGAAGCCTCTCCTCCATGATAATTCATGTCATTATCTCAGCTGCTTCTGACACAGCATGAACATACAGGCAGTCCCCAACTTACAACAGCTCATTTAGTGACCATTCCAAGTTATAATGGCACTGAAAAAATGGTCTTATCAGCATTTTCCCACACTTACAACTGTTGCAGCCTCCCCCTGGTCATGTGATCAAAATTCAGACACTCGACAACTGACTTGTATTTGTGATGGTTGCAGTGCATGTGATCCCCACTTTGGTGACCTTCCGACAAGCAAAGTTAATGGGGAAGCGGGATTCCCTTAAAGACCCCGTTATTAACTCAACAACCACAGTGATTCGTGTAAGCATTTGGGTGAGCAAGCTTGTAAAAATTGGGTGAAGCTCACTTAAGAGCTTCCTGCTTAACAACAAACTCTACTTAGCGATTGGACAACCATTTGTCAGACATGGTATAGGGTTTCCTGTCTAAGCAGGGGGTTGGACTAGAAGACCTCCAAGATCCCTTCCAACTCTTCTATTCTATTCTATTCTATTCTATTCTATTCTATTCTATTCTATTCTATTCTATTCTATTCTATTCTATTCTATTCTATTCTATTCATATTCCATATTCCATATTCCATTCTTACTTCTATTCTATTCTTACTTCTTTTTGTGCAATTACGCACTCCGGTCCCCAAGGCTTTACTCGTTCCCCAGGAAGCTCAGACTCTCAGGGCCTGGGCCTTCGGTTGATGTTGTGCAATGCCAGATCCGTGGTAAATAAGGCCCTCCTCATTTACGACCTTATTCAGGAGGGGGGAGTGGATCTGGCGGGTATTACGGAGACCTGGTTGGGCCCAGAAGGGGGGTTGTCCCTGACTGAAATATGCCCACCGGGTTTCCAGGCGTTTTATCAGCCAAAGGTCCAGGGTAGGGGCGGGGGGGTGGCGGTTATTATTAAAGAAGGTCTATGTCTGAGGGAGACCACTGTACCTCAGATAGCCGGATGTGAGTCCCTCCTTGTGAAGTGGGGTCGTGTGGTGAAGATGGGCCTGCTGATTACGTACTTGGCTCCCTGCTGCGTGGCAGCGGCCCTGTCCGAGCTGCCTGACGTGATAGCCAGGATGGCGGTTGATACCCCCAGGCTTATGGTTATGGGGGATTTCAACCTGCCATCTGTCGGTGAAATGTCTATGGCAGCTCGGGAGTTCTTGGCTTCCATGACGGCCTTGGACCTGACCCAAGTAGTTCAAGGCCCTACTCACATGGGGGGACACACTCTGGACTTGATTTTTGTCTCTGGTCAGTGCCAGAGTGATCTGGAAAGAGGGGATTTAGTCATCGAACCCTTGTCATGGTCTGATCACTCCCTCCTTCGCATGGACTTTCGAACCGCTACACCTCACCGCAGGGAGACGGAACCAAGTGGTTCCGTCCCAGGCACCTGATGGACCCGGATAGATTTCTGATGGAGCTTGGGCCATTCCCTGAGACTCTGGCTCATGGCACTACTGAAGAGCTGGTGGCCACCTGGGACAGGGCGGCCGCCGGAGTTTTGGATCGTGTTGTGCCTTTGCGGCCTCTGACCCGGTGCCGATCTCAATTGGCTCCCTGGTTCTCCGAGGGGCTGAGAGAGATGAAATGTCGGAAAAGACGCCTGGAGAGTGATTGGAGGGCCAGTCGCTCCAAATCTCACCGAACACTGGTGAGGTCTCATATTAAGATCTACCTAGTGGTGATAAAAGCGGCAAAATTTAACTATTTTTCCGCTCTTATCGGGTCTGCAGAGAACCGCCCAGCAGCCCTGTTTAGGGTGACCCGCTCCCTCCTTCACCTGGGAGCGAGGGAAGACCCCTTGCAGGGTGGCGCTGAGGATTTTGTGCAATTCCTGCATGACAAAGTCACTCAGATTCCGGAAGGTCTGGACTCTGATTGGGTAGATCTGGATGGAGTGATGGAGGGGAATCTTCAGAATGTTATCTCGGAGGGGTTTTACCCTGTGACTCCCGAGGACGTGGACAGGATTCTGGGAAGGCTTAGCACTGCCACATGTTTGTTGGATCCATGTCCCTCCTGGTTGGTGCTGGCCTCCCGGGAGGTCACACGAGGCTGGCTCCAGGGGATTATTAACACTTCTTTGAGTGAGGGTTACTTCCCCCCCCTCTTTGAAAGAGGCGGTGGTGAGGCCTCTCCTCAAGAAGCCTTCCCTGGACCCGGCTACATTAGCGAATTATCGCTCAGTCTCCAACCTTCGCTTCGTGGCGAAGGTTGTTGAGAGTGTGGTAGCGCGACAACTGCCCCAGTACCTGGATGAAGCCGATTATCTAGACCCGTTCCAGTCGGGCTTCAGGCCAGGGCACAGCACGGAAACGGCATTGGTCACATTGGTTGATGATCTCTGGAGGGCTCGGGACAGGGGTTGTTCCTCTGTCCTGGTCCTATTAGATCTCTCAGCGGCTTTTAATACCATCGACCAAGGTATCATGCTGCGACGATTGGAGGGGTTAGGAGTGGGGGGAACCATGTTGCAGTGGTTCTCCTCCTTCCTCTCCGACCATACACGGTTTGTGTTGGCAGGGGGGCAGAGGTCGACCTCGAGGCACCTTGTGTGGGGGGTGCTGCAAGGGTCTGTCCTCTCGCCTCTTCTGTTCAACATTTATGTGAAGCCGCTGGGCGAGATCATCCGTGGTTTTGGAGTGAGATTCCATCAGTATGCTGACGACACTCAGCTGTACATCTCCACTCCGAACCACCCCAATGATGCCCTTGATGTGATGTCCTGGTGCTTGGAGGCGGAGAAACAGGCTCAAACTCAACCCTCCAAGACTGAGTGGCTGTGGCTTCTGGCGTCCCAGTATAGTCAGCTGGCGCCATCGCTGACTATTGGGGGTGAGATCTTGGCCCCCACAGAGAGGGCTCGCAACTTGGGTGTTCTTCTGGATGCACGGCTGTCTTTGGAAGAGCACATGACAGCCGTGGCCAGGAGAGCTTTCTATCGGGTTCGCCTGATGCACCAGTTGCGTCCCTTTCTGGACCGGGATGTCCTGTACACAGTCACTCATGCCCTCATCACATCCCGTCTGGACTAGTGCAACGCTCTCTACATGGGGCTCCCCTTGAAGAGCACTTGGAGGCTCCAGCTGGTCCAGAATGCGGCCACGCAGGTGATTAAGGGAGTCATTTGGCACTCCCATGTGACCCCCCTCCTGCATGAGTTGCACTGGCTCCTGTTGGTCTTCCGAGTGCAATTCAAGGTGTTGGTCACCACCTTTAAAGCGCTCCATGGCTTAGGACCGGGATACATATGAGACCGCCTTCTGCCATCAACAACCTCCCACCGGCCAATATGCTCCCATAGAGAGGGGCTCCTCAGGGTGCCGTCAGCCAAACAATGCCGACTGGTGACACCCAGGGGGAGAGCCTTCTCTGTGGGGGCACCAGCCCTTCGGAATGAGCTGCCCCTAGAGCTTCGTCTTAGCCCCGACCTGCGTACTTTTCACCGTGCCCTAAAGACCTTCCTGTTTCAGCAAGCCGGACTGGCCTAATATGAATTTTAAATGGGTGTATGTGTGTTTTAATTGAGGGCCAAATTGTATATATTTGTTTTAATTGGTTTTAAATTTTATAAATTCATGTGTTTTAATGTGGCTGTACACCGCCCTGAATCCCCTGGGAGAAGGGCGGTATAGAAATCCAATAAACTCTAAACTCTAAATTTACAGGACACCCTGTCAAGGACCACAGAATGATAATCTCCGCCCCAAAACTGTTAGACGATGCTAATTTAAAAAAAAGAAGAGCGGGTATTCACGTACTTGAAAGGAAATCCCTAAATTATGTTGGGAGCTCGCAATCCTGAACATGTATCTAAGTATAAGAGCTCTGATATAGTCTGCCCTTCTGCAGAAGAACGTTGAGCTATTTCCATCCGCTGTAAGCATGTACTTGTCTCCGCCATGCCCAGCAGAGAAAATAAACCTGGATTGCAGTATCAGAACATGGAGTTTGGCAAACTGCCTTCTGCGGCCTGCTCAAGGAATCTTGTCATAGTACTACTAGTAGTAAGCAAACCATCAGGTTGGTTTTGACAATTCAGGAGAAAAAAATGAGACGAGCCACCGATCCCTTTGTTTCCTGTCTCGAACCAATGGGTGATTAAAAGGACAGGCGGAATTGGGAGTAATATGTAGTGTGGTTGCTTTGGGCAATGGCTGTTTCATGACAGAGGTTCCATGTGGACGAAATCCATGGGGCCAAGTTCAGGAGAAGATGTGTGCCTTTCTCTTTCCTTTTCTTCCTGACTTTCTTTTAACAATGTGGAAATGTTCAAGGGATCCTTCACTAAAAATATGAGGAGCCAAAAGAAAAACCCCTTCAGATATGGTGAGGAAGGAGGAAGCACAGGTTGTTCTCTTCCATGACCCCCACCCAAACATTTGAGAAAAATATATTTCTTTCATGTTTTTGCCCCCTCCTCTTAATTGGGCTCTAGGATATACCATAAACAGAGCCAACCCTTATTAAGGTATTGACTTGGGCACAATGTTCTACATATCTTCGGAGAATAAGTGCCATTGAAATCAACCAAAAGGAATGCACAGGATTGGAGACTGACTACAATTCTCTATGCTGAACTTAGACCCACTGTTTTCTACAAGGCTTGTTCTCTCAGATAAACCTGCCCTCTAAGGTAGGAGGTGTAACTGTTCTTGGCTCTTGTCCACCTTCTCCAGGTCTGGTGCTCTGAAGGCGCCCTACTACCAAGGGTTCAAGGCCCGTCCGCCAAAAACTAAGTGCAAGAAATAAATCCTATGACTGACAGGAGAGGATCATAAACGTGGAATAACAGGGTTGGAAGAGACCGTGAAGGTCTTCCAGTCCGACCCCCTGCTCAAGCAGAAAACCCTGCAACATTTCAGGCAAACGGTTGTCCTCTCTCTTCTGGAAAAAACAAAAAGAACTCCAGGGTTGTTTAAAACCTTATTTAAAAAGCTCCAGAGAAGGAGTTTTACTTGCGGGAACGAGAAGCCGCAGGATCTCTGACTTCCTCGGATCTATCTGGAACGACTTCCAACGGGGCCCTTGTCCAAGCCTTACCTGGATGTCCTTCTCCGACTGATTCCGACGTGAACATGAACGCCCCTTGCTCTTCGTTCAGCGTATGGTCCTGCAGGCAATCTAAAGTCCCGTTCATGATGGATTCGGACGAATTTCTTTGGGGCAGGAGGGGGGGAGAGAGGCGGTTGGTTCTCGGAGAAAAGAAGCTCTCGGGGAGGTGGGCGATCTCCCGCTCTCAAGGCAGAGCAGGCGAGCGGCGCGGTCTCTTGGCCAGAGGCGCAGAGTCTTCCAGGTTCCAGCTGGCTGCGTAAAAGCGCGTCGCAACCACCTTCGCCTGCTTTCTCCCTCTCGGGAGCTGTCACGCCGCCTGGCCTCTATATATGGAAAAGCGAAAGTGCCTCGCTCATCATGTGAGGAGCACGGAAGAGCCCATTCCCTGGCAGGATGAGGGGGAAGCAGGCCACGCGTGGGGGAGAAGAGGGGAAAAAAAGCAAGCGGCAGCCGAGAGTTCCCCTGGCACCAAAATTTCGCCCAGCCTTGCGCTCCTGTCTCTGCCCCCGGGAGGGATTTTTTTTTTTGTTAAAGGAGCAAGGATGCGGCCAAGCTCCGAACAGCCCCCCCACCCCCTCCCCTCCTTGGAGGAGGGCGAAAAGTGAGGAAAGAATCCTGCTCTCTCTCGCCACCCTCAGGTCCGCGAGTTTGTGTTGTGTTGTGTTTGTATAAGGATCCGGATTAAATGGAGCGGATGGCTTGGTTCTTTTTCGTTTAAGGCGCCCGGCTGATGCAACTGGGGAAAACCGAGCTGCAAAATCACGGACGGCCCAAGTGGGGCAGCGCAAATTTCAAGGATCTGGGTGTGTAGGTTTTAGGGACGCAAGATGGGGTGGCCCTGAAGTTAGGGAGTCGTGTGTTTCTTTCTCACTTTGACAGAGTTTAGAATGTGAAGATCTCTGGTTTTAATTCCAAGGAGCAGATGCAGTAGAAGAGCACGATTCGAATGTTGTCTGGATTAGTTTTCCTCCAAACGTCCCTCTCACGAATTTGGCAAACCCAAAGGGAGGAAAACCCAAGCTACAAACGAATGCATTCATAAATCTTAGGGAATTAGGAAATACAGAGCAAAGAGAATTCAGGTAAGCCAAATGGTTTTATTAACGATTTATACAACTCCACTCCCTTGTAGCACTGATGACGTTACCTAGTTGGGCCACGAAATGTCTGCAAGGAAACAACCAAGTTCAGGGAGCACCAAGGACCCCACAGTCCTCCTCCTCCTCTTCCTTCATCACTGGAGGTTTTTAAGAAGACACTGGACAGTCACTTGTCTGAAATGGTATAGAATGTCCTGCTTGAGCAGGGGGCTGGACTAGAAGACCTCCAAAGTCACTTCCAGCTCTATTCTGATTCTTCTCCTCCTTTCCCCTTCTCCTCTTCCTTGTCCTCCTCCTCTTCTCCTTCTTCCAATCCACAACCCCCCCTCCCTTCTAGCACTGATGATGTTCCCTAGTTGAATAATAAAACATCTGCAAGAAAACCACCAAACTCGGAGAGCAACAAGAACACCATAATTCAACCTTATGCTACAAATATTCTCTTCTATTGACATATAACTTTTATTCTGATTTTTCAACATCACTGAAAGCTCACCTAAGGGACAATGATGGAAAGGAATAGCAATTTTTAATTAATGCCAGGTTTAGAATTTATTTGTAACCTTTTGGGCAGCTTTGGGGCTGTCACTGAAATTCAATTGAATGGGGACTCTAACATTTCTAAGTGCTAAGGTGCCTAGTTGCACTTAGGAAAGACAAAGACAGGGATATTTAATTTATTTTATGCTCTGATCACAGCTTCTACTCCAGAGTGACTCAGGGTCCAGAGAAAAATGACAAACTCCTACCTTAAAGATTCAGTTTAACTGCATTCCGCAGAAATTCAACCCTACCTTGTAACATTTTCTCTGGCCAATCGAGGCCCTTGTAACTTTTCCCAGATACTTATCATGAAGAAAAGGATTAAATCACATCTAGTATCACAGGAGACCAGACAAGATGGGTCTGGAATGTGCCTCCCTTTCCAAAGAGAAGCAAAAGTGGAAAAACCTGAAATGGTTTCATGTTCATTCAGCATATTATTTAATTCATGTTGAAAAGCTTGCAATATATCTTTCACCCCCTCCAGTCCACGGAAAAACCTCTCTCCATGGAACTGGTCCCTGGTGCCCAAAAGATTGGGGGAAATTGTCCTAGTGGACAATCACTTAAGTATGAGCCAGCAACGTGCTGCAGCTGCCAAAAAAGCCAATGCAGTCCTAGGCTGCATTAACAGAGGGATAGAATCAAGATCACAGAATGAAGTTCTAGTACCACTTTTCAAAGCCTTAATACTTGGAATACTGCATCCAGTTCTGGCCACAACAATACAAAAAAAAGATGTTGAGACTTTGGAAAAAGAGCAGAAACATAAACTGTTTCAACTCCTACCCTCAAAACGATGCTATAGAGCACTGCACACCAGAACAACTAGATACAAGCACAGTTTTTTCCCGAACGCCATCACTCTCATAAACAAATAATTCCCTTAACACTGTTGAACTATTTACTAAGTCTCCACTACTATTAATCTTCTCATCGTTCCCACCACCCATAAGTGTATGACTGTAACCTTGTTGCTGGTATCCTTACAATTTATATTGACTGTTTCCTAATAGGTTTTGATTGCTTATTTGTACCCTATGACTATCATTAAGTGTTGTACCTTATGATTCTTGATGAGTGTATCTTTTCTTTTATGTACACTGAGAGTGTATGCACCAAGACAAATTCTTTGTGTGTCCAATCACACTTGGTCAATAAAGAATTCTATTCTATTCTATTCAGGTCATAGTTGTCTCAAAGGTGCTTTTTTTTCAAGAGGCAACTGGACTTTCTTGATTTTTCCCTTGAAGTCATTTTGCTTTTCATCCAAGAAGCTTCTTCAGTTCTTCTTGGATGAGAAGCCAACTGTTTTCAAGGAAAAACCAAGCAAGCCCAGTTGCTTTGAAAAAGCACCATTGGCTGAGAGTCTTCATAGACATAGAGTCATCTCCTTCCTCTCCTGTCAAAGATCCTTCCTAAGTAAAATGCCACAGTAGTTCGGCATCTGCTTGGGCCATAAATGTCCAATTGGAATGCAGAAGCTTTGACTGATGGAGGAAGAAACAGCCGGGGTGAAAAGTGAAACGGGTCCGGCAGCAAAGTACTGAAATAAATCTGATGTCAAACAATTCTTGGACTCGAAACCTCGCCCCCCAGGAATGTTTGGCGAGAAGCAGTCCAACCGTTTCTTTCCATTTCCTCCCACCTCCCAAGCAGGGTTTATTCCCCGAGTAATTGGCTGAAGAGGAACACACCTCTTTGGTTCATGATTATCTCACTTCCATGTTGTTTTTGCCACCAACAGGAGCGGGGGGGCGGGGGGAGGAAGGAAAGCAGTGGGGTGGATTTATTTATTCAGTTGAGAACTGCAAACGTCCATGATTTGGGGGGAGGGGTGTGACCGTTTTGCACAGGGGTCATTGGCTAAGCATATGGCAACGCTTGGGACATCTGCAGCCCAGTTGATTGGAGATATTGGATTCACACTGAGGATATTCCTGGGTTGCTTAGGTCAGCAGGAGAGCTGATCTGAAAAAATAGACAGCTTGCCAAAACTTAGCTACTTATTAACCCTTCTCGGTGGGGTTCCCAATTTAGGGAATCCTCTCCTAAGAAGGGGCTTTTGGCTTCCACTAATCCGGAATTGGAGAAAATGGCAAAGATGCATCTCTACTGCAAATGTTTTTAATTTGTAAACCACAGGCTATCCTTGACATACAACAGTTCATTTAGTGTCCATTTGAAGTTGCAACGGCACTGAAAAAAAGTGATTTATGGCTGTTTTTCACACTTAACGACCGTTATGACATTCCCATGGTCACATGATCAAAATTTGGGCGCTTGGCAACTGGCTCCTATTTATGACAGTTACAATGTCCCCTGGGGGTCACGTGATCCCCTTCTGACAAGCAAAGTTGACAAAGAAGCTGGGTTCACTTCACAACCGGGTTACTCACTTAACAACTGCAGGGCAAGAAAGGTCGTAAAATGGGTCCAAACTCACTTAACAACCATCTTGGTTAGAAAACTCTGGACTCAGTTGGAGTCGTAAATCCAGGGCTACCTGGATTTTGAATCCTTGCTTTGCGAGCCGATAGCCCCATTCAGTTTTGTGGAACTATTTGCAAGTGGAGTTATTTCAGAGACAAATACCAAATGGTGACCCTGAATATTCTGACTTGGTCAATGGTTTCGGCTTTGGCCGATAGATTATTTTCCGTTGCATTCACTGACACTTTGAATTATCTCTGAATGTTCTACTAATCCCCCCAAATTTCTAGGCATTTTCTGACCTAGCCATGTAGAAGTAAATAGAAGAATCTCACTGCCATCACGGAGGGATTAGGACCCTTTGTCCAGTGTCAGAACTGGGCTTAAATTCCCTGCATTGGAAATAAAATCCTATCATCACCAGAGGAAGAAGATCAAAACTGTAAGGCTCTGCTTACTGCATTGAAGCTCCTATTGTATAGATATTTGGTAGCAAAATCAATCAATCAGAATAATGCTGGAAGGAACCTTGGAGGTCTTCTAGTCTAGCCCACTGCTCAATCAGGAGACCCTATTCCATTTCAGACAAGAGGCTGTCCAGTCTCTTCTTAAAAAACCTCCAGTAATGAAAGACTTACAACTTCTGGTGGCAGGCAGTTCCACTGGTCAATTGTCCTCACTGTCGGGGAGTTTCTCCTTAATTCCAGGTTGCTTCTCTCCTTGATCAGTTTCCCTCTGTTGTTTCTTGAATGAAGACTCATATACAGGTAGTCCTCGACTTGCAGTTACAATTGTGCCCCAAATTTTTGTGGCTAAGCAAGACAGTTGTTAAATGAGTTTTGCCCCACTTTATGATCTTTCTTGCCACTGTTGTTAAGTGAATCACTGCAATTGTTACATTAGTCCCACGGTTGTTCAGTGAATCTGATTTCCCCGTTGACTTTGTTTGGCAGGAGGTTGACCCCGGGGACGCTACAACCATCATTAATATGAATCAGTTGCTGAGCATCCGAATTTTGATCACATGACCCCAGGGATGCTGCAATGGTCGTAAGTGTGAAAAATGGTCATGTGTCCCTCTTTTCAGTGCCATTCTAACTTTGGTCACAAAATGAACAGCTGTAAGTCAAGGCTTACCTGTAGTCATATGTCAAGGACTGCTTGCATTTTATCCTCATTTTGTGGGGAGCAGTAAAGAGAGTTTGTTTTTCTGAACCACGTTTCTCAGTTTATAGCTTGTTTGTGTGTTTCCCATGTCAGGCAGCTATCACATGCATGTGCCTCTTCCAAATTTATTGATTGATGCATTTATTAATTTGAATTGATTGATAGGCCTGCCTAGCTCATAAATGCAATGTCTGACCAAGATGTTTTTTAAAAATAGTACATTTCATTCTCTTAACAAGAATCCTCAAAGGAGATGCGGTCTTCTAAAAGAGTGCAGAGAAGAGCAACTAGGATGATTAGGGAGGCCAAAACATATGAAGAATGGTTGCAGCAATTGGGTATGTCTAGTCTAGAAAAAAGAAGGACTAAGGGTCACATGATAGCAGTCTTCCAGTATTTGAGGGGCTGTCACAAAGGAGAAGGGGTCAACTTATTCTCCAAAGCACCCAAAGGCAGAACAAGAAGCAACGGATGGAAACTAGTCAAGGAGAGAAGCAACCTAGAACTAAGGAGAAATTTCCTGACAGTGAGAACAATGAATCAGTGGAACAACTTGCCTCCAGAAGTTGCGAATGCTGCAACACTGGAAGTTTTTAAGAAGATGTTGGATAATCATTTGTCAGAAATAGTATAGTTTTTCCTGCCTGAGCAGGGAGCTGGACTAGAAGACCTCCAAAGTCCCTGCCAACTCTGTTAGTCCGGTATTTTGCTGCACTTCTAAGAGGGACACATTCATGCTTTCTCAAAGCATGGCTTAGGTTACTTTTAACCACTCTGTGAAACTGTTTGCACCCACCCAATCATCCCAAGTGGGAAAATAGTGGAAAGTTAAATTGTTT